GCAGGGTTCTGTAGGGTTCTGCAGGGTTCTGTGATGTTTTGCAGGGTTATGTGGGGTTCTGCAGGGTTCTGTAGGGTTCTGCAGGGTTCTGTGATGTTTTGCAGGGTTATGTGGGGTTCTGCAGGGTTCTGTGATGTTTTGCAGGGTTATGTGGGGTTCTGCAGGGTTCTGTAGGGTTCTGCAGGGTTCTGTGATGTTTTGCAGGGTTATGTGGGGTTCTGCAGGGTTCTGTGATGTTTTGCAGGGTTATGTGGGGTTCTGCAGGGTTCTGTGGGGTTCTGCAGGGTTCTGTGATGTTTTGCAGGGTTCTGTGGGGTTCTGCAGGGTTCTGTGGGGTTCTGCAGGGTTCTGTGATGTTCTGCAGGGTTCTGTGATGTTTTGCAGGGTTCTGTGGGGTTCTGCAGGGTTCTGTAGGGTTCTGCAGGGTTCTGTGGGGTTCTGCAGATTATGTGGTTTTCTGCAGAGTTCTGTGGGTTTCTGCAGTGTTCTGTGATGTTCTGCAGGGTTATGTGGGGTTCTGCAGGGTTCTGTGATGTTTTGCAGGGTTATGTGGGGTTCTGCAGGGTTCTGTGGGGTTCTGCAGGGTTATGTGATGTTTTGCAGGGTTATGTGGGGTTCTGCAGGGTTCTGTAGGGTTCTGCAGGGTTCTGTGGGGTTCTGCAGATTATGTGGTTTTCTGCAGAGTTCTGTGGGTTTCTGCAGTGTTCTGTGATGTTCTGCAGGGTTATGTGGGGTTCTGCAGGGTTCTGTGATGTTTTGCAGGGTTATGTGGGGTTCTGCAGGGTTCTGTAGGGTTCTGCAGGGTTCGGTGATGTTTTGCAGGGTTATGTGGGGTTCTGCAGGGTTCTGTAGGGTTCTGCAGGGTTCAGTGGGGTTCTGCAGGGTTCTGTGATGTTTTGCAGGGTTATGTGGGGTTCTGCAGGGTTATGTGGGGTTCTGCAGGGTTCTGTGGGGTTCTGCAGGGTTATGTGGGGTTCTGCAGGGTTCTGTGGGGTTCTGCAGGGTAATGTTCGGTTCTGCCGGGTTATATGGGGTTCTGTGGGGTTCTGTAGTGTTGTGTGGGTCTCTGCAGGGTTCTGTGGGGTTCTGCAGGGTTCTGTGGGTTTCTGCAGTGTTCTGTGATGTTCTGCAGGGTTCTGTGGGTTTCTGCAGTGTTCTGTGATGTTCTGCAGGGTTCTGTGGGGTTCTGCAGGGTTATGTGGGGTTCTGCAGGGTTATGTGGGGTTCTGCAGGGTTCTGTGGGGTTCTGCAGGGTAATGTTCGGTTCTGCCGGGTTATATGGGGTTCTGTGGGGGTCTGTAGGGATATATGGGTCTCTGCAGGGTTCTGTGGGGTTCTGCAGGGTTCTGTGGGTCTCTGCAGGGTTCTGTGGGGTTCTTCTCCTTGCTTGTAAAATTTTTAAAAGTTCAATTAGTGAGGCACCTGATCCTGATGAAAGAGACTGTTAGCGTGTGACTACACACTGCACGCCCCTCCTTTTTCTCAATGCCACGCCAGTCCTTAAGATAGTTACAAGATGAACGTGTGTGTGTGTGTGTGTGTGTGTGTGTGTGTGTGTGTGTGTGTGTGTGTGTGTGTGTGTGTGTGTGTGTGTGTGTGTGTGTGTGTGTGAAGTATTTAATGAGCCCCCCACGAGTCCATTGTCCTGTTCTGAAGCTGCCCTCTTGTCCTCATCCCCCTCCCCTCTGTGATGGTTAAAGTTCTCAGAATCAGCAGTTCAACAATAACAGCATCCATCCATCCATCCATTTTCATCCGCTTATCCGGAGTCGGGTCGTGGGGGCAGTAGCCTAAGTCGAGAGGCCCAGACTTCCCTCTCCCCAGCCACTTGGGCCAGCTCCTCCGGGGGAATCCCAAGGCGTTACCTGGCCAGGTGAGAGACATAGTCCCTCCACCGTGTCCTGGGTCTACTTTTAGGTCTCCTCCCGGTTGGATGTGCACGGAAAACCTCACCAGGGAGGCGTCCAGGAGGCATCCTGACCAGATGCCCGAGCCACCTCAACTTGCTCCTCTCGATGTGGAGGAGCAGCGAGTCTACTCCGAGCCCCTCCCGGATGACCGAGCTTCTCACCCTATCTCTAAGGGAGAGCCCAGCCACTCTCTGGAGAAAACTCATTTCGGCCGCTTGTATCCATGATCTCGTTTTTTCGGTCACTACCCAAAGCTCGTGACCATAGGTGAGGGTAGGAACGTAGATCGACCGGTAAATCGAGAGCTTCGCCTTCTGACTCAGCTCTCTCAAAGTCCAGTGGGACTGCCCCCGATGTCCAAGCGATATTGCAGAGCCGCGTCAGCCAACACAGCCCCACAACATCCAGAGCCTTAAGGAACTCCGGGCAGATCTCATCCACCCCTGGAGCCTTGCCACTGAGGAGCTTTTTAACCACCTCAGTGACCTCAGCACCAGAGATTTGAGAGGCCAACCCAAAGTCCCCAGACTCTGCTTCCTCACTGGAAGACGTGTCGGTGGGATTTAGGAGGTCTTCTAAGTATTCTGCCCACTGATCAGCCAGACGTTGGACCAGAATCTCCTTGAAGCCATACGGAAGTCTTGCTGTCTAACCCATACCCGGGTTTTTGCCTTGGCGACCACCGAGCCGCGTTCCGCTTGGACTGCCGGTACCCGTCAGCTGCTTCTGGAGTCCCACAGGCCAAAAAGACCTGATAGAACGCTTTCTTCAGCTTGACAGCATCCCTAACCACCGGTGTCCCCCAGCGGGTTCGGGGGTTGCCACCACGACAGGCACCGGCGACCACAGCTCCGGTCGGCCGCCTCAACAATGGAGGCACGGAACAGGGTCCATTCAGACTCAATGTCCCCCGCCTCCCCCGTAACATTTTGGAAGTTCTGTCGGAGGTGAGAATTGAAGCTCCTTCTGGCGGGAGACTCTGCCAGACGTTCCCAGCAGACCCTCGTGATACGTTTGGGCCTGCCTGGTCTGACGGGCATCCTCCCCCGCCATCTGAGCCAACTCACCACCAGGCAGCTTATTTAGCTAAACTCTAATTTGAGATCTAATGTGAAACCTTTTATTTTGTGGTTAAAAATAAATCTTAGAGTTGAGTTAAAAACAAGATGGAATAAATAACTGATTAATCAAGATGTTGATAGATAAATTAATTAATGTAGGATAGTTGTTAGTGGTGACCTCTGATCTTTGGGTGTTTGTCTGGATCCACACAGGTCAACTGACTGGAGTCCATCTGGACACACGCTGGTGTGCGTGTGTGTGTGTGTGTGTGTGTGTGTGTGTGTGTGTGTGTGTGTGTGTGTGTGTGTGTGTGTGTGTGTGTGTGTGTGTGTGTGTGTGTGTGTCCTGGAAGCTGTCTAAGTGACACAACGGAAGCCGTAAGCTGCCCTATTGTTGTTGGTGTGTCTTTAACGCCGGACCAAGCTCATCTGCATGTCGTGGCCGGCAGCTACGGCTCTGTTGGCTATTGATGTATTGATCTGGGAGTTTGTCTGTGGACAGAAGGGAGCTGGAAATGCTGGCTGAGGTCAGTAGGTCAGGTCTAACACCCTCCACCACCCACCCACCCACCCACCCACCCACACACACACACACACACTAACCCCTCCTTTTTCTCAATGCCTTGCCAGTTCCTAAGATAGTTACAGGATGAACGTGTGTGTGTGTGTGTGTGTGTGTGTGTGTGTGTGTGTGTGTGTGTGTGTGTACGCCTGAAGGCCCCTCTCCCCCTCTCTATCTTTACAGATGGATCGTTTCTCTTCCATTTTTATGTTTCCTGGCTCATTAACTCCACCTCCGGTTTTTATTTTTCAATCTTATTGTGAATCTTTCTGTTTTTTTGAAGTTTAGTAGATTTTTGTTTTCATCCATTCATTTTTATTAAGAGTGGTAATGTGCATGGTTTGTTCAGATAAACACATACAGGTGAAACTGGAAAAGGGAGATTTTGGTGCAAAAGTCTTTTAAATCAGTAATCCAGCTCAGACTGAAAGACCATCTAAAGGCTCAGGAACCCTTTGCAGGTCTTCTGGATTCATCAGCTGATTAGAGTGAGCCACGTTGAGTCCAGATTATTGATCCATTAAACAATAATCTAATAATCTGAGGTTATGAATGTGGGGTTTCCATCAGCTGTAAGCCATAATCATCACAGTTATAACAAATAAAGGCTGAAACATCTGCATCTGCATGGAATGAGTCTGTCTCATAGACTGGTTTCACATTTTAAGGAGAAATGATTCGCACCGTATTCCATCCAGCTCGCAAACGTACACGTTAGCGTGAGGCTGAAATGTTAGCAACATTGTTCTGGGAAGCCTGAACGCTCACCAACTGCTTCATCTGTGAGATCAGCCCCAGCTGGAGGGAAACGTCTTCTCTAGTTGCGTTTGGATGTGTGTGTGTGTGTGTGTGTGTATTTGTCATGTGTGCTCTACATTCATGCATGGCTTGCTGTCGACACTGTGGCTGCCTGTATTTAGCGTTTGAATTGTCTTCATGCATGGATGGTGTGAGTACTTGAGCGTTTCAGGGTTACATGTAGGTGAGAATATAAAACAGTTTCACTTAGTCAGACAGAAAAATCGCCATCTTACACACACGCGCGTCATATTTATGTTAAGTGCCCAGCATTTTCCCCATTCAACCAGCAAAAAAAGAAAAATACAATACAAACCAGAGGGCATGCGCCACTTCCGGCATCTCACCGGATGTTGCTTGCATCAGCATTTCTCCATGAGGCTACTCAAGAATAAGGTGGATAGGAGACAGTCCTATGGTTGCTAACACAAAGCTAATAGAGCAGTTCTGTGCTTTTGACTTGCATGAGCCTGTAGGGCATTTGTGTGTGTTTGTAAAATGAATGTATGAATCTGCTTGACAGCAGCAGAGCGTGTGTGTGTGTGTGTGTGTGTGTGTGTGTGTGTGGATCATTAATAATGGATGGGGTGGGAGGTGCCATGGTGAAGAGGCAATGACAGATGGAGAATCTGTGTGTGTGTGTGTGTGTGTGAGAGAGCTAGAGAGAGAGAGAGGGTGCAGGCTGAGAGACGCTGATGACACAGAACAAGAGAGAAAGGGATAGCGAGAGTGACGTAGAGGGAAGATGGACTCAATGAAAGAATAAACAGCAGAATTTTTATCTCCTCTTTGTTTTGTTGACAGATGTTTTGTTTTTGAGCTGGGTTTTCCGGACAGTGGCTCAGCCTTTGTTTGTGCTGGTTTTTGCCTGTTTTCCTGGATGCTGGATGACTGGTTCTGATGGACTCGGTGCTGCTGGACACCAGAGCTTCACCCACTGAGGTACTGAGATGTTGTTTGGAAGAAGGGCTTAAAGTCTGTTCTGCTACGATAAACTCTTTCATTTTTCTGTACTGTAATGGAGACTAGCGGTCCCTTCAGCCTGATAACGAATGAAAAGCATTTTATGATAACGTTGGAAACCAACCATTTTAAAAACAGCTAAAAGATTAAAGGATCGTTTCTTTGTTTTAATATCTGCAGAGACAATAAGATGTATATTTTCTCCTCTCCCTCTCTTTGGTCACCGGTTTTTCACTCTTTGCTTATTATGCTTTTGTAATTAGAAACCAGCAACTCTATTCCTTCATGAGACCTGGCCGACACTCTGCGTGGTGCTGCAGTTTATGCTGTGAACCGTTTTAGTTTGTGCACTGCGTCTATTTTAGACACACGTGTATGCTCTTTTATCCAATATGACAATGGCTGCTGCGTTGTGGCGTGGTGTTCAGCCAAACAGCCGCAGGTTTGAACCCAGAAGCCTAGTTGTGGCCCAGTTCTGTGTGGAGCCTCAAAGCTGCAGCCTCAGCCCAAACACCTGCAGCTTCACGGGAACATCTGACGTGTGAGTGGTTGGCCCGGCGTTGACCTGGTGACCTGAGCAGGTTGGGCTTGCCTCTGTCCTTTTCACACACACACACACACACACACACACACACACACACACACACACACACACACACACACACACACACACACACACACACACACACACACACACACACACACACACACACACACACACACACACTAACGCAGCCCGACTGTGCATTTTTGGCTGTTTCCATTTCTTTGCTCTTCAGCGGCTTCCAGTCTTTACAAATCTCCCTGACTCTGTCACAGAGTTGTGATGCAACATGTTTAGAGGCAGCTTGCATCAGATATTAATCCGCCACGTGTCCACCAGCTGTTGGGCCTCTCAGTTCTGATTGGTCCCATCTGATGGAGAACGATGGTTTATTCTAGCAGGTGTTTGAAGTGCTCCAGCTCCTGCTGTGGGTGTTTCATCTCAGCCGGCACCAGGATGAACTTGTCCTGTTCAACGGTCGAGGACGTCTGTCAGTTCTGCACAGCTCAGATGATCTAAAAGGACTTTTGTTCAAACAACACTGAGAATTTGAGAAAAAGTTGGTGTCTAGACCACAAAAGTTCTCGCTTTCTTTAACACGACATGAATTTCACTCCATCACCAACATCTCGCATCTCCAGCTCCGGGATCAGGAGTTGTGTTGTGAAGTAGAAGCTGTTTTGTAATGAGGTTGGGATGAGATGTAGCATGCACACACACACACACACACACACACACACACACACACACACACACACTGATACAGTCGTTTCTTTGTTTGGAGGCTCTGAAGCTGTGGTTGATGCGTCCAGAAAGCTGAACGAGAGAAGCGGTGACAGACAATGACGAGGATTCTCCACAAATATTTGGTCCGATCTACAGTTCCTCCTCCCCTGTCCTCCCCCCCTCTTCCCTTCTGCTCTCGCTGGTTAAAGGTCCGTCCACAACGCTTCAGGTGGTGCTTCAGATGTCTGTAGTGATTTAGCTGGCATTCATAGAAACGGTCCTTTTATTGGTTATATAATTATTTTATGACCCCAGATCTGAAGATGTTTTACCGTAGAGGGCAAGGGGAGAAGTGTGGTGTTCCAAACAGGAAGTAGCTGTTTTGTCCAGAGCCAGCTTCTTGTGTCGGTTAACCTCTGAGGAGCTGGGGGGTGTTGGGTCTGAGCTGTCTGGACTCACCTGGGTGAGACCTGCAGGAGAAGGCCAGGATAGAGGAGAAGCTGAATTTTACCGTGTGTGACAGGCCGGCCTCATCTGGGATGGTAAATGCTCTCTGCTGAGAACCCGACTCTTCACCCTGGCAACAGCAGGAATAGATATGGACAGGTCTTCCTCTAAGTGAGTGAAAAAAGCAACTACCACACATTAGTGGTAAAGGTGATCTTCACCAGTGAGATGCTCCAGCAGCACAGTCTCTAATCGCTGACTTACTTCAGCTCATCAGATTCATTAAGGGGAGCCCGTTTAGTCCCAGAACCACCAATCAGCTGAACATTGGAGCTGCTGGGAGCTCTGGAGCAGCTTCTCAAACAGCTCTGGGCCTCTCAGCATGTGTCAGAACGCCAGCGGAGCCTCGGCGTGTCTAAACTGGTGCTCTGATGGGTGACAAGCGTTTCCAGTCACTGACTCCCCTGATTAGTTCGGACCTGAGGCTCAACCCGGCCATACGCTGTGTCACTCGTTAAGCGGTCCTCCAAACTGTTGAGCATCACAAGGCGACCCACGGCGCCGGCTGCTCAAGCGTTTAAAGACAAAAGACACAAAATGGTAGGGACTTCATTCAGCTCGATTTTTTTGGTTTGTTTCACAGCGTCTCGTATCAGCTGCCATGTTTGATTTAAAAACCAGAAACCCTGTTCCTCATGTGGTCATAGAAGCATGATCTCCACTGGCTCAGATGTTTTTCTCCGTGTTTTTGGTCAGAACAGCTGTCCGTTCCAGGTGTAACTCAGGAATAGCGTTAGCGTTAGCAACGCCACCACACAGCCAAACTCCTTCAGGCTTGAAGTTTTGTGGAGATTAAACATCAACAATGGAAGTCAGCGGTAGAGTCATGTTGCTGTTAGCCAATCAGAGGTGAGATGTCCAAATATCAGGAAATAAGACTCCAAATCCCGTCGTCTGAAGCTCAACTCTGATGTGGCTCACCTCTAGTTCCTGGAAATAGCGCACCAGTGTTTTTGCCCCCAGAGTACGACTTACAAGGCATCCGCTCCAATTAGAGACCACTGCAAATGCATTGATTAGGTTAGTGAGCCACACCTTTAGACCAATAGATTTTCACACATGAAGGGGAGGGTGACGTAGACACAGGAAGAGATGTAACATTATCCTAGCTGAGGAAGTAAGAGAGGGCATTTACTGGTAACTGTGTCTCCATAGGTATGATAATAGGACTTAGAGAGGAGGAGTGGAGAGGAGTGAGAACTGAGAAAATGAAATTTGGTGATAAAATCATGGCAGAGACAGAGCTAGAACCCCATGTAAGTGTGGAGGTTTCTGTAGACCCAGTAGAGATTGCACAATGGCTTAATTGATGTGGGAACCTCCAGGCGGACACTTCCAGCTAACGAGACCCAGCAGGCAAGCTTCCAGAACCAAACAACTAACAACAGAAGGTCAACTTATTCATTCATTCGTTCGTTCATTCATTCATCTTCTGTAAGGGTGAGGGGAGCTGGTTTCCTATCCGTTATCTGGCGAGGGGACGCTCTGGACAGGTCTCCAGTCCATCACGAGAGCTTACATGTGAAGCCATTATTTTAGGGAAGAACCAGGACCACTGAAGCTGTGGGAGGTCACCTCCCTCACCCGGCATGCATGTGTTTAATCTGCACGATTCTATGATTTCTGTGTGTTTGCCTTTCTATATCTCTATTAACAATACATGTCATGGTTGGCATAGTCATATGGGTCTGACTGATTTACATGTCAGGACTGTTCATGAATGATTTCAGTTTGTAGTGAAGCTCATGGATGTGGTTCACCTTTGGAGGGTTTATATGTTTGTGTTTTATCGTCCTTGCAGTGGAAAGTGTGAGATGACATCTGGGACACGTGACAGAGCGCTGTTCCGGGCAGCTGAAGAGTCGCAGCAGCAGGATCTGAAGCTCCAGGAATGAGAAGCTGAGGTACCCAGCCATGAGTCAGACGTCAGTCACAACTCGCTAAACGTGTCCTGATCGTGTCCCAAAACCAGAGCAAGTCACCCAGCTTTAGGGATTCAGTCTCCAGTTTATACTTTTATTTTGGTATTTTTATTTATTTTATTTATTTATTTTTTAGAATTCACAGCATAGATTTGCAGATCCGAGTTATCCTGAATATTCCTACTAAGAGATGGACCGGAGATGGGAATCTTTAGGTTCCTTGTGAGCCGACTCTCATTCAGAGGTCTGCGTCATTCTGCCCACCTCTGCTCTGTGTGGCTAGCTGGTATTTAAATGACCCGAAGAGGAATTCGCTCTCAATAACAAAACTGGCGTTTCAGTTAAAAAGACTGTTTGCTTCATTCCAATCTCAGCTTTCATACAGGAATATGTGTGAGTCCAGCTTATGCTGAGTCATGTGACCAGCAGCTCTTCAGTACAACCTGAGTGTGATGAAAACCTGCTCACAGCTCACAATGTCACTGATGACTTGGCGTTAAATGCATGCTCCTGATGGTGACCACGCAGCATCAGTCCTGGCTGAGGAGCTCCCAGAGCAGACCAAGGAGAGGGTGGAGACGCCAAAGCTAATGTTGTAGGAACTCTTATTAAGCTTGGTTTATGCTTGACGCATTCACCTTCCGCTTGGTGACGCGGCTCGCGGATGGAACGCGCTTCACAACTCGCAGCGTTTATGGTTCATGCGGCTCGTCTCTGCGGTGAGCCAATATTCTCCCAAACTGTAGGGGGCAGCATGGAGCTCTACGGCATGCATCCAACACTACACCATAGTAGAAGTAGAAATCACTGTTTACAACACGGCATTCCAGCATTTTTAACAGCGTCCTCGTCTTTTCCGACAGTGCGAGCTATTTCTCTCCAAGAATCATTAACAACATGTTGATCACGGTGATCTCTGAGAGCTGAATCATACAAATGTCTGTATTTACCAACCTCTGCCATACTAGTTCTTACCGGTCCGCCATTTTTTTCTGCGTCCGACCGTCCGCGGGGTTAGAAAATTTCCTAGGTGCGCGGTGCGGAAAGTTTGGGCCGTGCGGAGGCGCGGTGGAGGGGCGTGGTTGTTAAAATGACGCAACTTTGCCGCGCGGAGCCGTGCGGACCTCGCGGACGCGTCAAGCATAACCCAAGCATCAGGACTCTTGACTGGCCATGGCTAAATAGTTTCAGACATAACTCAAATGCCACTGGCTAAGAAACCCTGACGGGGCGGTTGGTGTGTGCCGCTCCACCTACAGTGAATTAGCGCACAGCTGGCAGCTCCATACGGCACTACCGCTGTCACGATACTGCAAGTTCAAACTCAGTACTGATACTCAGGATGGTACTCGATACTTAACACTGTTCTCACCTCACAGCCCCCCCCCCCCCAACAAAGGAACCTGTCTGCCATCAGTCTGGTGGTAGGTGGAGGAGGCAGAAGGTGGAAATGGTATCCAGGTGTCAGTAGTGTCGAGGTGTGGATCTTCATTCATGCTAGCACCTGGAATTCTGAAGGATCTCTTTGATGTGCACCAGTTCTGATGCCGGTGCTCAGAGATCAGGGTGTTCTGTAATCGTGTCCATTTTTATTTTCTTAATACAAAACCTGGATGTTCCCAGATTTAACAATCTATTTGTAAACAGTCTGACATTGAAGAGATGGTTTTTGATCAAGCAGCCATCTTCTAGTGACGGTAAATATCCAGGCTTCCTTGCTTCTTTTGTTTCTAAGACACAAACACCACCAGCGGTGGATGTTTCAGGCTGAATGTCAAGAGTCAAGAAGGTTTTATTGTCATTGTGCCAGCGTCCCGGTACGAGAGGACAGCTTCAGATCAACCCGTCCAAGCAATAACAGCAGCATGACGCTGCCAGGGCGGGTTCACGGCGTAGGAAGAGAAGCTCACCTGGACCATCATTACTGGGGAGATGAAGCTGATAACTTAGCTTCACCTCCACCTACTCCACCTACTCCACTTACCTGGAAGTCTCCTTCAGATCTGCTAAAGCACTCTGCTTTCGCCCCATCATGACCCAGTTTACTGACCCAGTTTCTTCCCTCATCAGGACCCATTTCATCACACTCACCCAACTGAACTGGTTTCAGTTTGTTTGTTGCTGCTAATTCACAGAACCGGTCCAATCCAGATCCAGTTCTCAGGCCAGTCCAGCACTTCATCCATCCTTAACGTCCTCATCGTCCTCTGTGTGTGTGTGTGTGTGTGTGTGTGTGTGTGTGCACGTGTGTGTGTGTGTGTGTGTGTGTGTGTGTGTGTGTGTGCACGTGTGTGTGTGTGTGTGTGTGTGTGTGTGTGTGTGTGTGTGTGTGTGCACGTGTGTGTGTGTGTGTTACACCCTCCTCCTAGCCTCTAGCACTTATTCTTCAGATTCATCCAGACCTTCATCTTTAACCCTGTTTAAACCTTCATGTTGACCCCGATGTTGACAGTTAGAGACCAGCAGAGAACAAAGGCTGGAATAGAGAAGTTCTCTCTCTCTCTCTCTCTCTCTCTCTCTCTCTCTCTCTCTCTCTCTCTCTCTCTCTCTCTTCTCTCTCTCTCTCTCTCTCTCTC